CGCTTCACTTTTGGAGGAAGTCTCGTACGAAACGCTCGTTTTGGAGACTTGGCACTGCACTTGTGGAGCTGGACTCAGACCTGGCCAGTTCGTAGTGCAAATGTAGGGCGGGAAGAAGCTTTTCGGAGCTGGACTGAGAAGTGGCCAGTTTGTAGTACAAATGTAGTGCGGGAAAGAACTTTTCGGAGCTGGAGTCAGAAGTGGCCAGTTTGTAGTACAAATGTAGGAAGGGAAAGAGCGTTTTGGAGCTGGACTCAGAAGTGGCCAGTTTGTAGTACAAAAGTAGTACGGGAAAGCATTTCAGAGCTGGAGTGAGAAGTGGCCACTTTGCAGTACAAATGTAGTACGGAAAAGAGCTTTTTGGAGCTGGACTCAGAAGTGGCCAGTTTGTAGTACAAAAGTAGCGCGGCAAAGAGCCCTTCAGGGCTGGAGTCAGAAGTGGCAGACGGTGTGGCGAAATTACGTCCGTGATGTCGCTGTGCCTTCTAGTGTGTGGACAGACCGCGCGGCCAAAGTACGTTCGCGATGCCGCAGCGCCATTGGGATTTGCGCGGCCTTGGTGGGAAGTGCGTTTGCGTGGCGCCGTGCCACTGGGGAGCGCGAAACATGCTGGTGTAAACGCGGCGTGTCGCTGGTGAGCGCGACGATTAGCAGTATCATGTGATATGTTTGCTTCTCGTGCGTGGCGGACCGTGTGGCCAAAGTACGTTCGCGACGTCGCAGCGCCATTGGGATTTGCGCGGCCTTGGTTTGGTGGGAAGTGTGTTTGCGCGGCGCCGTGCCTTTGGGGAGCGCGAAACATGATGGCGTAAACGCGGCGTGTCGCTGGTGAGCGGGATCATTGGTGGTATCATGTGATATGTTTGCTTCTAGTGTGTGGACAGACCGTGTGGCCAAAGTACGTTCGTGATGTCGCAGCGCCATTGGGATTTGCGCGGCCTTGGTGGGAAGTGCGTTTGCGCGGCGCCGTGCCACTGGGGAGCCCGAAACATGCTGGCGTAAACGCGGCGTGTCGCTGGTGAGCGGGGTGATTGGCTGTCGCATGTGATATGTGTGCTTCTAGTGTGTGGACAGACCGTGTGGCCAAAGTACGTTCACGATGTCGCAGCGCCATGGGGATTTGCGCGGCCTTGGTGGGAAGTGCGTTTGCGTGGCGCCGTGCCACTGGGGAGCGCGAAACATGCTGGCGTAAACGCGGCGTGTCGCTGGTGAGCGGGATCATTGTGGTATCAAGAGTGTCCCAAAAGAGTGCCCCGCAAGACCTAAGAGCTTCCTACAAGAGTGACCCACAAGGGTGTCCTACAAGACGGCGTGTCGCTGGTGAGAGGGATGATTGGTGGTATTACGCGATATGTTTGCTTCTAGTATGCGGCGGACCTCTTCAGCGTTGCGCTGACACAGTGAGAAATGCACCCAGTTGCGCTGCCGCTTCATCTGCACATCGACGTCTACACCCCCTCACCTCTGTACACATAGAGACATAGATACACACATAGACACACACAGAGACCCACACACTTACTCAACACACTAGACTTAACACTTCACACTTAACACTTAACACACAACTCACATTCTAACTTCACACGTGGTGAAAAATGCTTTCGGGCCACTCGTCGTCTAGTTCGAGAGACTGCCTACCATTCCGAACTCAAGCTAGCATTGCGCCTGCGTCCGGCACCTTTTTCTGGAGACCTTCCCGAGGAGAGGGGTGATTCTTCATCTGAAGCAACAGTGGCCAACAACTGTCGCAAGACCGGAAACAACAACTTTTCTTGCTCTGGTCGCCGCAGCACCTGCCGCCCCTCAGAAGAACAGGCGGCGGTTGACCTTCGGGCCTTCCTGCGCAAAGATTGCAGTTTGATGACAGCCGCCAATGACCGGCGACGGAACGCCTCACCCTGTCCCGCCGCCCATTGAATGGCACGCAGCTGGCTTGCAGGCCAATTACCACCACCAAGTCAAAAGCACTGCGCTTGCCACGAACCAGTGACCACCAAGTTCCAAAATGCGCACGGCACCATAACGAGTGCACAGTTGAGCCGAGGAAAGCGCCCGCTCGCTCCCACCAGTTTATCCTGCGCAGTCTAAATGCACTTCAAAACTCTCAGGAGGCGTAAATAGGATGGAATTGGCCGCGCACGCCAGTGATCACCCTCGATTAACCTCACCCGTGACCCGTGTGTCCACACTATTTGGAGGAAAAAAAGAACACAACCTTTCCAAACTTTCCCCAAAAAATAGAGGGACAAGTGAGTGCACACCATGCGGCCAACTGGCACTGCTCTCCGAAGAAGTGAACACCATGCATGAGGTGGGAATGATCATACACGATGCCCTGCAGGTGGTGCTGCGTCTCCAAGTCACACAATGGACGAAGCACCAAAAGGGCACATTTCGGGGACCAAAAGCCTCTCATCTCTATATACTATTTATACATATTATATTTATATATCTATATAATATATATATATGACTCGATTTAACTCCATTGCAGTCAAATGAATGCAATTCCGCCTTTGGAGCACCTGTCGTGCCAGAAGTATAGATGAGCAAGGCCATATCATGAGCCTGCAACATCTCCAGCCAACTTGTCTCAAGCTCAACTACATGCTGAGAGATTGCAGCACATCTGTTGATGCCAACAAGCCTGCCTCTGGTCGCCGATATGGCGATCCGTTTCCAGTGCCTGGCAAAGTTCTGAAAAGTTGCGCACGGCGCACTCTGCAGCAAAAACAATACTGATAGACACTAGAACGCCAATGATATAAA